TCCTGCTGACGAAGCACTGTTCACACCTGCATTTTTTGTGGCAAAACTTTTGTCTTTTGGAGGAGAGCAGTTAGGACCTTGGAATGACAAAACTTTCGTTGTTCAATTGCCAGTGTGGACATTTTGTTTCAGTTTCAACTGCACTGCATTTTCTGATGGAAAATGGTTCTGTTAAAGTTTTTCCAGCCAGCTCTAAGTAGGTATAATGCATGGTATATGTGATACCTTTTGAGAAGTGCTACATTGATATTAGCTATGCTCCACATATACAGTGTGAATGTCTGTCCTTTTCACAATGTCTGTTTTCTTGGACACCAATTCTTCGTATAAGTGTACTGTTAGGTCTAGCAAGGTATTAAGAAGATTAGAGCACCTTCTCTAACACATCACTCTCCCCATAGTTAATAGCCTCCAGGGATAATAGGGAAAAAACCAAACCACACCACACAACAGGATCCAGGTAAAGGAAAAAAATTGATCTTTTAATTGAACAGTCTTTGCTGTTTTAAATTCTTAATCCTTTTTCTCTAACAACGGGAAGAATACAAAAAAAAAAATAAGCCTAAGGACATAGCAAAGCTTGGGAGCAGCAACTCCTCTTCTTATTCTAGTTTGTCTTGTTTTATTTAAAAACTGATTAATTCATGTCATATTACAGCTGAATCAGCCATTTTGACTGACAGTTCAGTGATAGGATTGACTGAAAATCCAAGCCATGCTAAGATATGGTGCCCTGAAAGATAGAATGGAAAAGTGAACGTGGATACTGCAATAATAATTTTAATTGCCATATTAATTTTTTTGTCAAGTGATCATATTTTCGGTGTGAGAATGTTTTGTAATTTAAAAATAAATGCTTTTTCGTGCAATGATCTTCTAGAAGCTTTACAGTTGCTTCCTGTATCGTTTGACTTTGGAAGTGACTTTTACTAGATAAAGGTCCTAACAGAAGCTATTATAATGTGAGAAAGATTATTTGCACTGCTATGTTTTAATAGTCAGTTGTTATTACTATGAAATCATAGGAATATTTTGAAATATCACTGCAAAATTACTTCACGGAGATATAATATTCAAAGTTTATTTCCTTTCAATGAAAAAACAGTAACTGTGACCTAGCAAATAGCCTGCAGTGGTGGCACACAGAAGACCTGTGATCTAGTCCAAATTCTGCTGCTGGCCTGCTGTGTGACCTTGGGCAAGTTATATCATCTTGCTGTGCCTCAGTTTTCCCCATCTTTAAAATGAGGCTAATGCTAGTGACCTTTGTAAAGTGCTCTGAGATCTAAGTGCTAGGTATTATTGCTAACCATAAAAGTTGCACCATTTTAAATCAAATTAGAACATATGCCTGGCAGGACTGTTCACTCCCTGTATATCCCTCTCCCTGCAGAGAAAGCAATGCCAGATTTTTGTCCCCTGACACCACCAGAAGCCCATTTAAACCTAGGTTGAATCTATCCCTACATACTGAGACTGAAATCCCAGTCACAATGCCTGTCCCAAGCTTGAATGCTCAAAAAAGAGAGCTGTATGCTCCACCATGACCTTTCCTGTCAGGACTGCCCTTCTCTAACTTACATGAACAACTGATCAGATGTTTTAAAAAGTTCTATTTTTTCTATCTGCATCAAGTGCAAGGACTAGTTGAACTAGAATGCAATGAGCTAAGCTACTCTTTAGGCATTCTTAAGTCAAATGCCTTTGTATAGAATTTGAAAAAAGTGCATATATTTGCAGCCAGGAGAGCTGGATGAATTTTGCTTGTGGTGAATGTATAAGGCTTCCACTGTGAGGATATATAATGTTTAAAGTCAACTGGAGCACCATAGGCCCAACCTAGAGCCCTAACTGAAATTGGTAGGAGTTTAGCCTGACTAAAGAGTGCTGAATAAAATGCTTGTTGTCCATCACAAAAAAACACTCAGGGTATGTCTAGACTACATGCCTCTGCCAACAGAGACATGTAAAATAGGTACCCGACATAGTCAGTGAAGCAGAGATTTAAATATCTCCAGCTTCATTAAAATAAAAATGGCTGCCACGCTGTGCCAGCTCAGCTGATTGTCAGCACAGCGCAGCAGTTAAGACGCGGATTGGTCGACAGGGGAAGCCTTTGTTGACCGCTCCTTTATGCCTTGTGGAACATACCCTCATAGGTGATGGGAAGGAAAGACCTGTGACTGGAACATAGGATAAGGAGTCGGATCGTCTGATTTCACTTCCAGGTTCTGCTGTAGGTTTTCTGCACAATCTTGGTCAAGTCTTTTAGCTCCTTTGCTTCACCCTTTTGCAAAAGCCCTACAGAATTAATAGAAAAGTATATCCCAGCTATAAAATTCTATGGGGTGATAAAAAAAACTAAAGAAAGGATTAAATACTGTATTACAGTCTGCAGGTTTGTAGGGTGATGTCTTATGAACCACTTGGTTTCATCGTGATTTCATTCAGTAGGACTTGTCCGTAAGTGCTATGAAGCTTAGAGCTTGATACTGCTCCCACTGAAGTCAACTGCAAAGCTCCAATTTCACTTCAGTTGTACAGGATCAAATCCTTAATGCATCAATGCACATATAGATGTTTCAGGTTCTCTGGTAGAATGAGCAAAGTGTAATGTTTTTTCTACCTCAAATCCACTTGTCCTGTCCATTAATCTCCCCTGTTCTGGTCCCACATGAGCAAGATCAATCACATTTTCTGGGAATCAGTATAGCAGAAAAACTCAAACTGAAACTGCCTAATGTGTATATTTTGGCATATTAGTTAACAAATCCATTTGATTTTTAATCCTATTAGGAAAGTGGGACATATTTGCCATTTTTTAAACAGACATAAAAAGCTGTTAAAAAATAAACATAGGGGATGTTAATATTGTAAAATTAAATTATCAAAAGTCAGGAAATTCCAGTCTTAAGGTTGTAAGTGCAACCTTAGCTCTGCCCCATGTGTATATACATACAATAATTGTTAACTACATGATTGTATTAGTATTTCTTAATACAGTACATAATATTTTCAACAGTCTTGAATATATATATGGCATCTTGCTATTTATATTAATTACATTTGGGCAGAACATCTTCCATGTACTTAGAGGACTCTCTGGCTACGTCTAGACTGCAAGCCTCTTTCGAAAGAGGCTTTTTTGAAAGATACTTTCGAAAAAGCCTCTTTCGAAAAAAAGCGTCTAGACTGCAAGCAGTACTTTTGAAAAAGCAAGCCGCTTTTTCGAAAGAGAGCACCCAGGCAGGCTGGATGCTCTCTTTCGAAGACGGCCTCTTTACATTGAAGAACGCCTTCCTTCGAAAGAGGAACTTTCGAAGGAAGGCGTTCTTCCTCATGAAACGAGGTTTACCGCCATCGAAAGAAAAGCCGCGTTCTTTCGAAATAATTTCGAAAGAACGCGGCTTGAGTCTGGACGCAGGGGAAGTTTTTTCGGGAAAAGGCTACTTTTCCCGAAAAAACCCCTGAGTCTGGACACGGCCTCTGGGTGTAGAAGCACTACTATTCAGAAGCAGAATCCCCTAGATCCTGCAGGAGGGTTTCTGCATAGTGTCCAACATGATCTCTGGACTGGTTGCTGGAAAACATTGCTCCCTAGCCCCCAGTAACCTTACTCAGAAAATGCAATAACAGCATTCTGTCCCTATACAATGTAACTGCACCAATTTGGCTGTGATAGGCATTATACTAAACCCTGATCAGCCTAGATCAAACAAGCTGGCCCATGGCTGAAGAGAACTGGGAAAGATGTGTACCTTAGGAATGAAAAAAATATTTCTTTTTTGTAGTTTCGGTGTATCTCACATTCTGTTCTGGATCAATTAGTGACCAAATACTCACTAAATCATACTGCAAGCTTCAGCCTACAAGCAACATTTTCATTCACACTTTCCCATCCTCTGCAACAAGATTAGAATGTAAGACATCAGTGGAATTCAGACCTATGCCCTTTCTGAATATGCACGATGAACCCACTTTGAAAGAGGCATACACTTCAGTCTTAGGACTGCTTTTGTTATGTTTGGTATGGTGCAATTACTAAAATAAGATTGTTGGAATGCCTTCTTATCCACCACTCTGATCTTGAAGCACATGTAGACCTAGAAACTGGCTCATTTAATCACCTATCCTCTATATGACATCTACTTTGACTCATTCTTGTTCTTATAAACAAATTAACTCACAAGGCCAGTTAGGCCATTCAGGGGTTAAATGTGATCCTCGCAAATAGAAACATTTCATCTCATGTTTTAGAGAAAGAATGACTTCTATTTTCATTGTTACACTTTCTACCTTTGTAACATCCTCACAAAGCATTGGAATTTAGCTTTTCTGCTTTCAGTACTTTTTTTAAAAAAAAGAAGGGTTGACATCACATACCTTACTAAAATACCTTCATTAGTAATTTTTAATATCTGCTTTAATTGTTAAACTTAAAATAACAATTTACATAGATCTTAAGTGTTCAAGGTACAATCATTAATGGATTAATAACCTTAAACATTTGAGATAGGTAAGTACTGTTCATTTTAGCGATGGGGAATTTGAGACAGAAATTATATGATTTGCCTCAAGCCAATCAAGTAAAAGATAGCACTGGGATCACAAACAGGAATTCTAGACACCCAGGCCTGAGTGCATTCTTTTTTGGTATTTTTCCAAGCTTCACTGCTTCTTTTAAAGGTGTTATAACTTCAGGCACATCTACACAGCAGGGCAAAACTCAAATTAAGCTACGCAACTTCATCTACATCAACTGCGTAGCTGAAGTCAAAATAGCAAAATTCGGCTTTTGGTGCTGTCTTCACAGCAGGAAGTTGAAGGGAGAACACTCTTCCTTTAATTTCCTTTACTCCTTGTCAAATGAGGCTTACAGGAGTCGGAGTAAGTACTCCAGCTTGTCATTATTTCAAAATATGGCTTGCTGTGTGGATGCACACTATATTTATTTCAAAATAATGTTAGTAATTCTGAAATAATGCTGCTGTGTAGACATATCCTTAGGGTGGTGAAAAGATAAATTGTGGTGTCTATTGCTAAGTAGATTCTCCTTCAGTGTACAGTACTGTATATATCCGAAGTAAGAATGTTTTGTAAACCTGTGAGAAAAATATTAGCTTTTAGTGAATGTGCGTGGTGCAGTAGGGATGAAAGTAGTAGGATCTGATGATCTTTGAAAGACTGAAAATTCCCAGAAAGAAAGCTGACAGACTAGAATTTGAAGTATTCTTGGGATTATGGAAAGGAACAAGGATGCCATCAGACAGATACAAGTCAGGGTTACATCTTGCCTGAAGATACATGGAAAAGAAATATTAAAACTAAATCAATGAGGTAAGAGAATAGAAGAATCTGCTGAAGGTCTTCTTGGGTAACATAGAGTAGAAATATCTACATTTGGAATTTTGGGCACTTTAAAATCTACCTATAATTTACATTGACACTGACATCTCTGCTTTCATGCTACTTCACGGATGCATGATATGGTAGCACTTACATATGAACACTCTCACTCACCTAGAACCAGAAAGCAAATCACAGCTCTCTCTCAAAGTGGGAGAAGGAAAATATTTTGAGTTAGCTAGTTACAGGATGACACAACATAGGAACAACAGCCATATCTAAGCAGTTGGATTGGGCTTGGGAATGTATGTTGTATTATTTTGGAATTACATTTTTGTTAATAAATCAAATTCCAAGAGAGGCGACTTTTGCTGTACAAAGATGTAGTCTTTATTTCGTGACCAAAAAAATTCAATTAACACAGAGTTAAGAATACTTGGTGGTATGTTGTTCCCTGCAGAATGTTAAACTGAGCCAAACTCAAACATATGAAAACGAGTTTCAGAGAGGTAGCCGTGATAGTCTGTTTCAGCAAAAACAACAAGGAGTCTGGTGGCACCTTAAAGTCTAACAATCTTATTATGACACAAACTTTCATGAGTCACAACTCATTTAATCAGATGCATGACATGAAAGAAAAGGAAACAGATAATAGGGAAACAGAGTGTTACATCAGAGCTAATTCAATCATAATGGATATTGACAAGAAGAATACCTAAAGTGGAAAATTACTTATTGTAATGGGAGAGCCATTCCCAGTCCCTATTCAGACCTATTCTGATGGTGTAAAATTTGCATATGAATCCCAGCTCAGCAGTTTCACATTGCAGTCTGTTTTTGAAGATTTTTTTGCTCTGAGAATGGCAACTTTCAATTCTGAAAGTGTGTCCAGGGAAGTTTGTGTTCTCCCAATGGTTTTGTATGTTACTATTTTGATGTCTGAATTGTGTCCATTTATTCTGTTGTGTACAGTCAGGGCACAGTTTGTCCAATGTACATGACAGAGGGGTCCCTCAGGGGATGGGGTGCTGGGGGGGGAGGGGGAGAGCACAGTGTGGTGCAGGAAGGGGTGGAGCTTGGGATGGGTTTGGATGTGCCCCCTTAGTCACTGGATTGCCTGGGCTGGATTGTGAATATGCTCTAGCCTGTAGATGGCCAGTAGGCTGGGAGTTTGAGAACCTTGTTGTAGAGCATATCTTTAGACAAATGTCCTATCTTGCTTTAAAGATTACCAGTGATGGATAATCAACTGTGATTCTTGATAAACTGTTCCAATGGTTAATCACCCTCATTGTCCAACTTATTTCCCATCTGAGTTTGTCTAGCTTCAACCTCCAGCCTCTGGATCATGGCATATCTTTTATTACAAAAAGCATGCGTTTATCATCTGTATGCATTCCAGGTAAAGTGTAAATGATTGATGTCAGGTGTTGCTGTACTGAATGATGGAGGCAGTAGTTATCTCTGCTTGGTAGGTGTGTGTTTGCAAGATGTGGGGATTACTTTGAGATGTATGACTGAAATGTGACTATACATGAGGAGATCTATGTTATGCATCCTTTCAGGATGCATAATTTCTATGCAGTGTTCTGTAATTATGTCAGGAGCAAGACTTTGGTCTTTTCATTTAAAAAAAAATTTGTCAGCAGAGAAGTGGAATATAAGAAGGTTTTCATGCTTTAATAATGGTTAAATACAAGTGTTGGTGGAGATGGTATCGTATGAGTGTGTGTAAAGGTAAGGATATGCGTGAAAAGCTGAGAAATGGTTCTTAAATTGTACACATGCAGTATTCTTTCTGGGGAGTTGGCTAAGAGCTGGAACTTCTTGCATCTTACAGCGTCAAATGCCAGTGTGCTATGTACATATTGAGACGTTGCTTGAAAAGGGTAGTGGGCAGATGGCATGGAGAACATTTCGCTGTTGTCCGGTCCTTTAGT